CCAAGGCGGAGCACTCTGCGCAGGTCAAGAAGCACGACGCCAGGCTCAAGCAGATTTCTCAGGATTACGAGGAGGAGATTGAGTCTCTCAAGGGAGACGCCTTCTTCAAGCGCAAGTTCCAGGACCTCGAGGTCAAGCACACCGAGCTCGAGACCGAGCACGGCGACCTCAAGACGAAGCATACCGATCTGGAGTCGCTGCACAACGACCTCACCACCAAGCACGGCGAACTCGAGACCCAACACGGCGACCTTTCCAAGAGCCTCGCCGACGGTACCGAGACGAGCACCAAGGCTCTCGAGGCAGCCAAGGCTGAGCTCGCCGCCGCCGTTACTGCCCTGGAAGCCCGGGAAGCCGAACACCAGAGGGCTCTCGATGCCATCCGCGCCAGCCACGCCGAGGAGCTGGAGGGCGCCAAGAGCGGAGCTTCTGCAAACAAGGACGCTCAGCTCGCCGAGCTCCAGAGCCTGAAGGACAGCCACGCGAAGCAGCTCGAGATCCTCAAGACCGACAGCGAGGCCAGCCTTGCCAAGGAGCTCGAGGCTCTCAAGGCCTCTCACTCCGAGGTCGTCGAGGCTCTCAACGCGGAGACTGCTGGTGACAAGGAGAAGTTGCTCGCCGAGATTGCTGCCGAGCGTGAGAAGGCCCTGGCCGAGAGCTCTGGTAGCAAGGAGGAGCTTCTTGCTGCCCACAAGAAGGAGCTCGAGTCCATCACCGAGAAGTTGCGCGCCGACCACGAGGCCGAGCTTGCCGAGGCCAAGGAGAAGCTGGCGAGCTCCCACGAGACTGAGCTCGAGGAGATCAAGTCCAAGCTGCAGCAGTCGCACCAGGCTGCGATTGAAGAGGCCAAGGCGAAGCTTGCCGAGGCCCACAAGGCCGAGCTGGCTTCCGCAAAGCAGGCTGGTGACAGCGCACACACCGAGGAGCTTTCCACCCTCAAGCTTCAGCTTGACGAGGCTTTGACCCGCATCCGCGAGACCGAGACGTCAAGCGCGGCCGCTCTTGCCGAGGCCAAGAGAAACCTCGACGACTCTCACTCCGCCGAAGTTGAGAAGCTTATCTCGAGCCACGCCGAGCAGGTAGAGGCACTGAAGCAGCAGAGCTCCTCTGGAGCCCGCGCTGAGCTCGAAGAGATCAACAAGGCCCACTCCAAGGTTGTGGAGGAGCTGACGAGCCAGTACGAGGCCAGAAATGAGTCGCTTGCCAAGGAGATTGAAAAGATATCGGCCGATGCCTCCAAGCTCGAATCTGCTCTCCAGGCTGCCAAGGCGTCTGTTGCCCAGGCAGAGGCTGACAAGACCAAGACCCAGGCCCGCGCCGCCGAGCTCGAGGCTTCTCTCTCCGCTGCCAAAGACTCTGTCACCAAGGCCGAGGCGGAGAAGTACAGTCTCGAGGAAGAGCTGGGCGAGCTCGGTGCCATGATCTCGACTGAGAAGATGGCGCGCGCTGAGGCCGAGGCGGCTCTCGATGCCGTCAAGAACAAGACACCCGACACCGCTGAGGCGGACAACCTCCGTGAACAACTGAACAACACCAAGAAGGGACTTGAGCAGGAGCTCACTGTGGTGCAAAAGAGCCTCGCCATTGCCAAGCAGGAGGTCGAGGACGTCAAGGAGGACCTGCTGCTCGCGCAGAAGGAGCTTGAAGCATCTCAGTTTGAGGCCGACAAGCAGCTCAAGACATACAAGGCCGACTACGAGGAGCTCAACGACACGATGACCAAGATTGTGGAGGAGGAGCAGGCCAAGCGCAGAGCGCTGGAGGAGCAGGTTGAGAGCCTGAGAAAGTCATTGGCCGACAAGGAGAAGGGCGTCGAGGAGTTCCAGGCGCAACTCAAGGTCAAGGATGCCGAGATTGCAGAGGCCAAGGTACGTTTTTGTTGTCTTAGGTGCGGCTCGGGCGAATAAATCACTAACACGACGTAGGCCAACGCATCGGCTGCCAAGCCTAAGGGACTCGCGGCCAGCAGATTTGCCGTTGGCGACGACGAGGACGACGAGGCGGACGGCTCAGCGGCCAAGCCCGCGGAAGGTGAGGAAGAAGACCATTCCTCCGAGGCACTGGCTGTGGTGCGAACGCCCTGCTTGATGCTCCCTTTGTTTGCAGAGTCGGGAACAAAATGCTAACTGTGGAATTCGCAGCTACAACGAGCTAGAGTAAACGCGAACCAGATCCACAACATGGACCGCGACATGCAGGAGAAGAACCTGGCCATGCTGGAGTCCATTACGGATTTCCAGCAATCACCGCACCTCAACAATAACAACAATAACTAAACACTGTCCAGCACGGATTTCAAAAGAAGAAAGACGAGCAATTTGAGGACACACAAAAAATGGCAAAAGAAATGTCTGGTTTGGCTAGCAGGCTCGTCAACGGCTTGACGGCCCCCGCAACGCAAGGCTCGTTGGCCGCTTCTCCTCGCCCCCCCCCCCGCCTGGTCGGGACCGAGGTTTCTTGTTTTAATACACAGCACGGGGGGTTTGAAAATTGTTGGCGCGTCTAGTAGACATGTACAAGTATTGCACTTGCTCGACTACAGGCGCGCTGGTGGCAACGGAAAGGGAAGAGAAGTGCTTGTTTTGCGTACTGGTACCCAAATTGATTTGCAGGAGATGGATAGAGAGAAGGGAGAAAGAGCTGGCTGTTGTTAGTCGTGTTGGTGCTGTGCTGTATTGCGTGTCAAAGTAAGTAGCTTGGCATGTGGTAGATGCCGCGATTTTTGCACACGGCGATGGATGTGGAAGTGTGTGTGTGTGTGTGTGTGTGTGTGTGTGTGTGTGATTATTTTGGAGGAATTTGCGTGTGACGGGACGAGGTAGCAATGGACGATACCCCCTTTTTCCTCTCGCATGCCCAATTTGCCAGTTTCCAACTTACCGAGTCTGAGGGTCTCCATTGCGGCGTTGTAACTTTGAATATTGAGTTGCCGTGCCTGGTGATGTTGCCGTCGGCCGTGACACCATGACTACAATGCCTATGGACGTATGGAAGAAAGACCATCTTCTTCATGGTAATTAGAATCGCACCAGGACCCCGAACTGAGTCGAGAGACCGGGTTCCTGGTCCGATTTTCCACATTCAGGTTCCAGGTCTAGGCCTAGGCTCTAAGGATACCATAATATCGACGAGTGCCTAGTAGTAAATCCAGACAAAGTAGACAAAGCCACGAGGTGCCGTGGTGGCAGTGTACGAAGCTACGAATGGGTAGTGCTGCTCCGGTGATGAGGTGATTTGGGAGGTCGGATACCGTGAATACCTATCTTACTTACGCAGGCGTGGCAGGTAAGTTGCTTTTTGGCCGCTGAGTAAAGCTGTTTTCCGTCACATTTACTGCGACATTTCCCCAACATTCGTCAGATCTTTCGCCTTCTCTCTCTCTCTCTCTCTCTCTCTCTCCCCGCCTTCCGATCTACGGATACATACACGGCAAGCTGTTTGGTTTCACGGGATGCGGGCGGGCGGGCGGCATACACAGTAGAAACAACTGTAACACAGTCCCTAGAGATGATCATTGGCATGAACACACACTGCCACAGGATGGCATTCCTGATGCAAAGACATGAATCGCTTCTACCCAATCACCTGCAAAGAATTGCGGCGGGACAGTGGGGGAGGGAGGGGTGGACGCGCGCGCCGGTGGAGGATTAGCTGATGATGGAAGGGTGGATTTTCTGCCTCTCTCCTTCTGCTGCTGCTCTCTTCTCCCGTTGAGAGTGAGGTGACTTCGTTCCAAGACGCGATGAAACTACAACTTTGTCCTGGGGGGTTTTTTTTTTACACGGAATTGCCGTTGAGATTTCTCTGCTAGCCGTTGGAGTATCTATTTGACTTGCTTTGACCTCGTTACTTTGTGTTTATCCACATTCTCATCTACCGAAAGGCAATTGTCGTTCGATTCTTGCGTTCCAAAGGATTGTTAGCGGGAAGATCTCTCTCTCTCTCTCTTTCTATTCCTCTTGGGACCTTTTCGGAAGCTTCTCCGGCTTAAGCTTGCTTTGATAGCAAACGAAAACAAGAACCGCAATTCGTCTTTTTTCGCCGAACATTATTACCTCAATCTGGGTCCAGCCGCATACTACGCAGTGCTCGTACTCCGTACCAAACCCCCCAGCTACCCGGCTTGGGAGCTCCAGTCGGCCGGCAGAGTCTAGACAGGGCCCTTTTCCTACTAGCCAAGCGCAAGCGAGGCGTGCGAGCCCCTTCGAGGTTACGCAGACTGGCAGGCTTATCCAAGCTGCTCGTAACACCTCGTTTGATTTGATAACGACTAGCGTACAAACGTGAAAGAGCTGGGGGCTTGTCTTGCGAAATCCGAGAGAAATCCCCTGGTTTACGTACGAGGAGCGAGATAAAACAAACAAATAGCTCTCCAAGGGACACAGTATTTAGGGCTTTTGAGGCGCCGCGCTGGTTTTCCTTCAGCTGAAAAGGTGCCTTTTACCCGCGTTTACTCGCCCATTTCGAGTCCAAACCAATTCATCGAGAGACGAAGGACGATTACAGAAAACGGATTCCTACTTTGAAGCCCTACATAAGCTTACATTATATAATCTATCTACGGCCGCCAAAGCTCAGCTTGCATATACTTGACTCGACGCCTTCCTCCTCCTTGGCCCTTTGAGTCTTTGTCAGGCAACCCGCGCCCGCGACCCGGGTTCAGCTCCAGATTTTCCGGGAATACCAGGGCCCGATCCGTTGTCTCAATATCACAAGCTCAAGCCGTAACGATACCTCCTACCTTACCATCGAGCAACAGAGGGGAAACCCCCAGCAAAGGAAAGAGAGAAAGCTTGAACGTCGAAGAACCAAGACGGGACGGAAATTAGAGCAAAACGCCATCATTCTTTCACACCAGGACGGAAACACCCGGTTCCCATCTGAACTCAGCTCACCCCGCGATCTACGAGACGACTCTTTATAACATCCCACCAACCCGCAGATCCTGCCTTGTCCAACCCCCCTTCCCCCCCCCCGAAAAGTCGACTCAATGAGAATCCCTCGACTCGCAAAGATGCAGGCGGAACAGCAGCAGCAGCAGCAACAGCAACAATCCTCCTCGGCCGCCGCGCCCCTCCCAATCCTCTTCGCAGAAGACACGCCCTTCTCAGAATACTCCACCGCAGTCTGGGGCCGCGTCTTCAACGCCCGCCGCGACTTCTCCCGCCGCCCCGCCGCCGTCGTCACCGCCACGCGCAAGGCCCACGTCGTCGAGGCCGTCAAGATTGCAAACGAAAAGGGGTGGCGCGTGAGCGTTCGCTCGGGAGGGCATTCGTGGGCCGCGTGGTCTGTTCGCGATGAGGCGCTGCTGATTGATTTGGGGAGTATGGGCAAGGGGCTGGCGGGGAGTGGGAACGAGGATGGGATCGCGTATGATTCCAAGACGGGGGTTGTGAGTGTTGCGCCGGCGAGGACGGGGAGGGAGGTGAATGGGTTTTTGGCGGGGCAGATTGGCGGGCCTGGGGATGATAGTGTTGAGGGGATGGGGAGATGGTTCGCTGGTGGTCATTGTCCTGATGTTGGGCTTGGAGGGTTTTTGTTGCAGGGTGGGATGGGTTGGAATTGCAAGGTGAGTTCTTTGGTCTCTTGAGACGAACGTTTGGAATTTGCGGTGTAAGGCGGTTGACTGACACAAAGACAGAACTGGGGCTGGGCGTGTGAGAACATCATCGCCATTGAGGTCGTCACGGCCGATGGGCGGGAGCTCCGGTGCTCAGACACGGAGAACGCCGACCTCTTCTGGGCCGCGCGCGGCGCCGGACCGGGTATGTCACTTCCGATCCCCCGCCGTCCTCCCCGAAACACCGGAGAAGAGAAAAGAAATCCAAGCTAACAACTCATAATAGGCTTCCCTGCCATCGTCACCCGCTTCCACCTCCGCACACGCCCCCTGACGGGCATGTTCCAGTCTCTCTACTTTTACTCCCTCGACCGCTTCGAGGAGATTCTGAACTGGGTGATCAAGGTACGCTCTTTCTCCTCCTCTCCCTCCTTCTCTCGATGTACCCGGCATCATCTAAACAACACACCAAACAGGTCTGCCCAAAAGCCTCCCCAGAACTCGAAATCGTCCTCCTCGCCCTCACGCCACCAGGCCAAACCACCCCGCAAATCATGGCCAACTTCCTCTCCTTCTCCCCGAACCCGGAAGCCCTCATCCCCCTCCACTCCTCCCACCCCTCCCGCCCGCTCGCCACCGTCTTCGCCACCCCGACCTCCCTCCCGCAGCAGTACGTCGAACAAGACGCCGCCAACCCGCCCGCGCACCGCTACATTTCCGAAAACGCCTACGTCTCCAACGACGCTGACGTGCCCAAGGTTTTAAAGAAGGCGTTTACGGAGCTCCCTACGCCGCAGTCGTTTGCGTTGTACTTTTCCATGAACCCTTGCTCTCGGCGCGCGCAGCAGTCACAGGGCGAGACTTCGTCGTCGTCTAACGGCACCAGCAACGGCGCGGCAAAGACCACCATGCCTGATATGGCTCTCAGCATGCAGTCAGACCACTACTTTGCCCTCTACACGATCTGTCCGGACGCCGAGGACGACGAGCGGTGCCAGGGGTGGGTGAGCGACGTCATGGCCGGCGTCGAGAGGCACGCGGCGGGTTCGTACCTGGGCGACGCCGACTTCCGGTACCGCAGGACCAAATTCTGGGGCGACGAGCAAGGGAAGAGACTGATGGAGGTGCGCAAGGTATGGGATCCCAAGGGGCGGATTGCGGGCTTTTTGGATGTTGAGGATGGGAGTGGTGTTGAGGGGTTGAAGAATGAGTTTGAGTGGGCTTGAGTACGCTTTGCTTTTTCTTCCTTTGCCACTTGTTCTTTTTGAAAGGGAGTTTTCAACCTTTGTTTGTCATTGCTTGGGCGTCGAGACGGACGCATATATATATATATACCTGTTGCCGAAAGATATCCTGTTCGCAGAGTACATTATACAAAAGGAGGGAGGCCTATGAGATGCGAATTGGTGTAGACAGCCGTGGATGAGGGTAGTTAGTCATCACTGCTTGTTCTGGAAAGAGAACAAGACCTGTTGCCGAACTACAATCCTGTAAAAATAACTCACGAGATGATGCAAGGACAGGTGCATGTCAAGAATAACACGGTATGAACAAAATGTGGTTTTTTGATATGTTTACTTCTATAGTATTCATCCACGTCGTCAATCTCGTCAACCATGGGTCCATTTACTACAACAACACTTCTTCCCAGAGCCTCTATGACTCAACCTTCTCGTTGGCACTCTCCTTGGTAATGATATCCCTCCTGTAAAACTTGGCCTGGAAGTTGTTCTGCTTGACGAACCACGCGTTGACGAGCTCCCACTCTTGGCTCGGGTCCTTGAAGGAAATCTGGCAATTGTCAGCATCAACACTCTTATCTTTTCCGCCGGAAGGTGTGAGTAACTTACGTCAAATCTCCTGAGCAAGCTCGGGATGACCTTGTAGATCTCCAACAGACTGATGTTCTTGCCGATACACGTCCGGCTACCCATGCCAAACTGGAACATGTGCCCGTTCATCTCCTTGATCCTCTTCTCCTCCGCCGCGGCATCCTTGCCCTCTTCCGGCAGCCAGCGCTCGGGGCGGTAGGTATCGACATCGTCGCCCCAGATCTCTGGTCGGCGGTGAATAATCCACGCGCTGCAGCCCACAATCGTACCGCCCTTGACAAAGTGGCCGGCAATCTCGGCGCCCTGGTCAGGGACGATGCGCTCCAGGGGCAAACCGGCGGCCGGATGCATACGGAAGGCCTCCTTGATACAAGCGTCAAGGTACACGAGCTTCTGGCTCTCAGCCCACGTCACCAACCCCGTCTCGTTGTCACTGAAGCCGCCCTCCCTCGCAAACGAATCCAGCTCCTCCCTCAGCCGCGCCAGCGGCGTCGGGGTGCGGAGCAGGTAGTAAAACACGGCAGCGAGGCTGATGGCGGTGGTCTCGGAGCCGGCAAAGGCCATGCTGACGGCCATGGTCTGGACGAGGACGTCGGACATGAACTCGGGGCGGGCCTCGCGCGCGGCCAGGAACTTGGAGAGCAGGTCGGGCTGCTCGGCGAGCTTCTTGCCCGAGGTGACGGGGAGGAGGGGTTCCTTGCCGCCGAGCTCGGGGAGGCGCTCGGCCATGCGGTCGCGGGCGAAGCGGGCTACGGGGAAGGTGGCGTCGATGAAGCCCCATTGGGAGAGCTTTAGGTAGATTGGGTTCTTGAGGAGCAGGAGGTCGAGGAAGGGGATTTGGCCAATCTTTGTGAGACGTGTTAGCCAGTTGCCTCGAGCTAGCTCACACAGTGAGATACAACTTGCCGGTGCAACGTAGAGGAACAGCTTGCCCAGGTAGGCTACGATACCATCAATGTCCTCGTTCTTCTCAATGAAGCCGTGACGCTTGCTGTAGGTGATTTCTCCGATGACGTCGAATGCGTAGAACTGCAACCACGTGGTGAAGTCACATCCCTCGGGGTTTCCAGCAAACAGCTTCTCCGTCTGAGAGAGGAAGAGCTTTGTCGTGTTGTCGACAAAGGGTTCGTACTGAACCAAGGCGGACATGGAGAACGCCGAGTTGACGCAGCGACGGAACTGAGAGTGGAAGTCATTGTTCGTCGTGCTGAAGAGGGACTCGAGCCTGAAGCCCTTGGCAATAGACTGTTGAACGATATAAAAGTCGGACTGAGACTGTTAGCTGCAGTAAATTTTGAGGAGGCGACCTAACTCTACCTTTACGAAGCCCTTGTTCAGGCCGTAGATGCTCTTCAGGGCAGCCGGGTCGGCAAACGACAGTGTGTTGGGGCCGAGTCGGACGACGTCACCGTATTTTGCGTGCAACTTTTGATGTGTGACTTCCGGACGGCAACCCTTCACGTCGAAGAAGCGCCACCAGTCTGTTAATGAGGCCAGGATAGGTCCTGGGTATTTGTTGAGGCCATTGTTATAGCGGTTCTTCACCAGCCAGGCTACAATAAGTGACAGGCCTATTGAGAGCCAGTGCTGTGCGAACGTTTCTAGTATGGTTTCTGTAATGCCGTGCATCTTGACCGAAGTTGTGTTGTCATGAGACGGATCTTGGCCGTTGAGTATAAAAAGCGTAGGGAGAGGCGGTGGTGGTGGTGGTGGCGGCGCCCTTGGTATAAGAAGTCTGTCAGGGAATCCTCCAAGCGGGTGGATCCAAGTAGATGTAGCCGGGCGTCAGATGGAATTCCCGGGTCAGGTACCGAAGTGCAATTTACCCAGTTTCTATGTTGGGATGTATCGACCGGATCCTATGGGGCATACAGCAAGAGGTATGCGAGGGGGCCATGCCGTGTGGTCGACGTGCAGGTCCTGCGGACTGTGCCTCGGCGGGGTGGAGCAAAGGAGGAACAGGCGTCACGTCGAGATGGCAGATGCGCTTAGCTTTTTCGTGTTGTGTGTGCAATACCGGTACTCGTGTGTGTCTGGGTTGTTGGGGCGGCAGGTCGGCAAGTAATTATTGGAACCTCTCGGCGATCTATGGGCACCGCCAGTAATGTAGCCAAGACGAGACGGCACCGCGGAAGTGCGAGGTAGGACGAAGCTCGGAGAGTAAGTGGAGGGGGCAACTGAGAAGAGCCTAGGAGGATAAACTAGGAACTTGAGAAGGTTTCCAACCCTTGACGAGGTATCCTCTGCCTAGTGTATGACTATGAATACCTTAGTCTCCACGGCCGAGGGAAGAGCGTTGGACATTCGGCGCAGAGTCTCGTGCGAGATGAGACAAGACAAGAGGGCGGGAACAGAATAAAGTTAGATTCTCGCAAGGGTGTTTGCGCTTTCTGGGATATGGGTTGGGGGACTGGCGGATGCGAAGTGGGAAAATGTGGAAAAATTGGAGAGACCTGGGAACTCGGGAGACAAGAAGGCGGTAATAGTAGGCGCCGTGCCGAAGGGAGAGGCGGCGGCGAGAATGAGTAAGGTGTCACAGACTCACCGCTGTGAGATAAAGCCACACGGAAGAGGCTGGAAGAACACGAAGATGAGGTAAGATGGGTGTAGTCGAGGCCGAGAGGTGCCGTTCGGGGGTAACCAGGACTAGGACTTTACCGACCCGTCCGGCGTCCCAGGCCACGCGAGTTCAGAAGATGAAGACGTTGACGAATACACTCATCACTAATTGTGGTGGACTAGAATCGTGTGCTACCACAGTAGCTTGGTAGACGGGTCGTCGGCTGGTCGTTTGAAGATGGAGCAAATCGTCCGGTCCAACAAGAGAGCATGAGTCGGACAGTGTGACAAGAGCAAGAGGGAGGCAAACATCAGCAGAGATTGTCCCCAAAGGCGCCGGCGTCTGTTTCCAGAGCCGTAGCCGTGGCCGTACACTAGAACTTAGTCGTAGGGCGTTGGCATAGCGCGGGAAGAAATAAGCCCATCGAATCGCCCCTAGACGACCCGAGGAATCAAGACTCTACACAGTAGGCTTCAAGAGGTACGGGTACTTTGTACAGGTGGGAATCCCCAACGTCATGTCATTGGGGGGAGAGAGAGAGCAGACGAGAGAGCAAATGGAATGCCACACCTTACGCAGCAAGCTCGTCGACGCTAGTTCGGGTCTCAGGTACCGCAGCTTGCGGTGGCCACTCAGAGGCTCGCAGAATGACACCGGCGGGATGTTCTGGTGTGAGTGGTACAGCATGTTCAGCTCCCACTTTGCGCGCGAGGGATTCCAGCCAAGGCGTGAGAGATCCTGGGGTAGTAGCCTGTAGCCTGTAGTGGATATGAGAGACCCTAGTCCAAGCCCGCCGTCCGTCGTCTGCGAGAGAGAGAGAGTGTGTGTGACCGCTGCCGAAGGGACCGAGCCGGGAGATGCTGTGAGCCGTTGCTGTCACTGTCATCATTCATGTTGTGCCATCATGGTCCTCCTCCATCGGGGGGTCGCACTCGCTGCGAGACAGATCGACTGCCATCCAGAGCTGGAATGAAGGGTTCGATTGCCTGCCGAAGCAGCCTCAACGTCAATGCTTCGTGTTGGCAAGGACACGGACACCCACAAGACTGAATGAAGTCTGCGAGGAAGAGTTGCCGCCAAAGCACCCCCCCCAGCCCGGATGGAGGTGATGGAGGGGTGGTGGACAACTTGGTCGGGATGTTGGAGGTTGGTCATGACTGATGGAATCCTCGGCAGATGCATTTCTCATATTTCTGTGGTGAGGACAATTGTCCCAAGTGCGGGCACTCGCCTAACCGTACTGCTCACTGACAGTAATGAACCCGAAGATACGATCCTGATCGAAACATTGAGCGCTGATTCGGGATATCCGAGGGCTTGGCTGAAGTCGTATGATATTCAGACGCATTGCTGCCGCATGAAAACGAACCCCGCGAGACTCGTGAGAGACAGGCACATCGGAGGCGGAAGAGAGCTATGCAGAAACGGGAAGATGGAGCCGCCTCTCACATGTCTGTCTTGGATGATGCTCCAGTCTCAACTGCTCGACCGACTGCACTGTGCTCCGGAGCACTCCTCATGGCATCCCGTCAGCTGCAAGTTGCAGCATCGTGTCGGCGGTAAGCTGCGCAGGACTCCGGGCGGCGCGCCGACCCACCGTTGGGGTTACCTTATCTGCGGGGGAGGGGCCCCGTAGGATGCTGGAAACAGGCATGACATGGCCATGGCATCTGGTGGGGGGCACGGCAGTTGTAAATGCGCTCACTTGCTCTCTCAGGCTGTCTCCCAGGCTCTCTCTCACTCTGAGTCTCACTCTCACTCTGAGTCTCACTCTCACTCTCACTCTCACTCTTGGCTGTTGTTCTCAAGCACTCATAGTCTCATTCTTGGGTAGGTAGTTTTGAATCTTGACGGCCTCAAGCATTACAGTAGGGCCATCCCCTGCCATTGAACAGCCCTCTGTCCACAAAGCCTCGGCCTGCCAGACCATGATACTGACCCATTTTACCATTCTTGCCATCCATAAACATACCAAGTGCCCTTTGTCAACGTGTCTCACTCCTTTGCTCCTCGCCGACACCGCCGAGACAAACGAAAGAACTGAAATGTTTGCCTTCATTACTGATCATCAATTCATAATCTTATAGCAATCAGAGACATCCAAGCTCGACTTCGATCCGACTTTCATTTGCCGACTCTCTGGCCCGAAGTCCATCCCAACTCCCGTAGTCCAAGACATCACAGGGCTCCACGGGTCCCCAACTTTTGGGGTTGATCCATGTACGGAGTAGACCCCTTCCCTAGCTACAGTAATAGGCCCTGGGCCCTGACGCAGCGTCGCTTGGAATGAGGCGTGATTGGTGCCGGGGGCGACGGTCAAACGCTTTCGGCCCCGAAGGAGGGAGAAACAGGCGCCGCGGCCCCCCCTCCTTGTTTTCACCGTGGACACGGAGCTTCACAAGCTCGAGATTGTGGAAACGAGATACTCGTACCCCGTAGCGAGTGGCACAGTTGCGATCTCATGCGAATGAGGGCTATATGCGACGAGCTCTCAATCTTCGGCCTCGGCGCCCATTCATCCTCCGCCCTCCGAACAACCCGCTTCTCTCGGCCCTCTCATCGGCTCTCTCTCGTCGGAGTCTCCTGTTCTCATTCACGATTCTGGAACCTCCCCCTACACGCGCCGCATAGCCGCTCCCGCCCCGGACATCTACCTGCCTCACTGACAACTCAAGGGTTCCCCGCACATGCATCACCCAGTGACGCCTTACCGCCGCAAGGGTTAGGTAGCCGAGGGGAGGTGTAACAAGAGTAATATCTGAGATGTGGTTGGGTTACAGCACAAGAGCTTGCCGTTTACGTTGCCTCTCCCACCGCGCGTTCTTGACTCTCCGTGCTGCTTTGAGGAATTCCAGTCCGTAGCGACTTGTGCTCGGGATTCCCTACGATATCTAAATCGCACGAAAGAACGGAGAACCAACCCACAGCGACTTGGATCAGGGTTCCATTTTACACTGTACGTACAGATAGATAGATACCAGACGAAAGAGTGGAAACCCAAACCACAATCGGATAGTTCGGCCGCCCCGGCTTTAGACTGGAAACTTGAAGCAGAAGCTTCGAACAGGAACTACAAGCCACAGTAAGATAGTTCGAACACTAATGACTCAACCAAGTTCCAAAATAAGAAGCCTCGAGATTCAGTTTCCTCGGCAGATGATCCGTCCAGCTCTGTTGATCGCCCCCAAAAAACCCCCTCCAAAGCCAAAGCCCAAAAACCGCCGTCCTAACTCCCTGACCACCCTTTCCATCTCACGTGTCGAAGGCCGAAAGAACCGTACGCTTGTGCGCCGGCGCGACGCCCTAAATGCTACCCCAGTGGCCTATGCTACCGTTCGCGAGGGAAAGTCGCCGGTTCGGCGGTTCACATAGTAAACCGGGTCTTGTATTCCGTAGTGTATCTGAAATTCTGAATGAATTCAAATTTCCTGCGCTCAGGCCCGTATCGGGACTCTAGAAGGTCCTTGGAATGTCAGCGAGCTCCGGAATAGACTTATCCCTAGTCTTATCTCCAGCTCGTTGATCTCACTCGCTCCAAGGAACTCAAGCGAGTGGTCGCTCTCGCGATTTTCACTTCAGTATACGAGAATGAGAGAGCGAAAAGGTTGTCTACAGTTGACAATTCCCTCCACAGTGAGACATCGCCAAACCTTCCAGGGACCAACCCTCATCCTCCATCTCCCACTCTTTCAAATCCTCCTCCCCAAAACCATCTGCCGAAGGCCCCACGGCCAGCGCACCCCAGTCGTCCCCCCCCCCCAAACCAACGGGCCCCAGTGTCACGGCATCGCCTACGTGGCTTGTCAGCCCCCCCGAAGCCAAAATCTTCGGCAGATGTTTTTGCGCGTGTTCTGGCGGCCGCCGCAACCAGAGGAGGTTCCAGAGGTTCCAGAGCTCGGGGCGCCTTTTTCCTCTCTCGCTCACTCTCTAGGTATCTCTTCTTGTCCTTGCGGCCATTGTTTCCCACGCACCCTTGCGCCGACCGTCCGTTTCCTTTGCCCGCCCCCAGCCCAATGACACGAACAGGTGGGATCGGATCGGAGGTGCCCACGTGGGAAGAAGAGGAATCGACACCACACAGATTACACTGTAGCCGCTCACCTATGCCGTTTCCGGATACTGCTATAGCCCTCTTACTTCTGTACTAAGGAGACAACCTCGCGGCGTCATTTTGACGTCGTATCGTGATATCGTCTCTCCATGGTCAAATCTTCAGCAGAGTCCTCGTATCAAAGTGTTGCTGTTGTGTCCGGTAGTTGAGGCGCGATTCATGCTGTTCGCTTACCGCAACTGCATAGAGCAAATGGTTTGGTAATAATTGGAATCTTCCGAAACACCGACTCCGAGTCATCACCGCCGATTACGCGTACGGTAGTAGGCGAAACCCTGCGCGCAGACATGAGTGAATTGGATGAATGCAGGCTTTCTCATATGCCCGAAATAATGATATTGGGACGCTCAATATGAACGCGTGGGTATCCTCAAAAACAATAAACTCGCAGCTAGTGTATCCCCAACAGGCGGCACTTTGTAGCTCAAACAGCTGCAAATGCCGGAACCTCCTTGCCTCTCTGTGCTGCGTGTGCCCTGGCGCTTTGCTTGAGCAAACTGATCATGGCTATGACATCGTCTTCGCTGCGTTTGAGCATCATTGCAAGCGCTTGAGAGTCGGTGTCTGGCCTCGCGGACAACGTCTGCAGAAGCCACTTGGCATCTGCTTCAGGCCAGGCAAAGGGCTCAGCATCCACCGATCCTTGCTTTGCCTCTAGATGGCGATTCACTGGCAAGGCCTGCTGTCTCTCGTGTCTGCCTCTTTGACTCTGTTGCGGGGAGCTTATCCCTCTTCGTGCTTTCTCGGCTGCAATCCGCTCCTCCAGCCGCCTATCGCAAAACTCCCGTTGTCGTCGTCTAGTCTCTTCGTACTCGTGTCGTTCTCGCTCTTCCTTCTGTCTCTTTTCAAGAAACCGCTGCTTGTAGAGTCGTTGCCGCTGGATCGTGTGATTGACCTTGTTCCAAGTTACATCCAGCTCTAATTTGAAGCCTTTTAAATACACGGCGAGCTTTTCTCGACTGAGCTTCTTGGATAGCAGTTGTTCCTTCCGCCTCCTTCTCGCAAGATTTGAGAGCATGCCATAGTACAGCTTCTCAATCCAAGCAACCAGTCTGTGCATGATTTGCAACGTCGGCTTCGTGAACGATCCGGCATATTGGGATCCATCGTGCTCAGTACCCTTTCGGAATACAATTCCAAGGGTAACCACAAGTGAAGGGATGATACTTTCGTACAGCTCCTTGACGAAACGTGGGGCCGGCATATCAGATTCGTCGCCGGGGCTGGGCTTCTTTGCTTTCGTGGCTATCTTATGAACAAGCTTATCGACTTCCTTGACAGCGAGCCTGGCATCGACCGCATCTACGTTGATCGAATGCAAATAGTCGCATTGTTTGCTAAACAGGGGCGCGCGAGGGGCTCCTTCCCAGAAGCTGTTGAGTGATTGCAAACGGTCCCATAGAGGCTGGGTTCTCTGCGAGAGCTGCGCCGGCCCAGTTGTGAGGTCAACTGCTCTTCCATCCTTGGAACGAGTCCAACCCACTCCATTCATCAACTCCTTGATGCTCTTCAGAGATGGTGATTTGACCGGCGCCGCGGTCAATCGGTCTTGATCTTCAGGCTGGTGAAAGATAAAATGATCGTCCGGGTACTCGTAATCAACCTCGGGGAAGAGGTCAGGAGTTGGCGGGTCCAGATCACCGACAAAACGACGAATCTGCGCAGTTGCCTCTACTGGTTGTGGCTCCATTTGGGAGTCTGTGTCGCCCGGATAGGCAGCATCTTCCCTTGCTTGTGCAGACGGCGGCAACTCAGCCATAATCGGGTCGTTGTAGAGCTGCTCATCATCATCACCCTCCTCGTCGCCCTCCTCTGTGCCCTCCTCATCTGCGCTCTGAATTTCGCGCTCAACAAACAGCCCATTCCCGGTGTCAGGGTTCTGTGAATCGGATCGCGAATCGGACGATTCAGCCTCTTGGTATGACGACATTGAAAGGTCAACTGCGATGGCAGACCCTCTAGGTGGACTACTCGCGAACGCGTATATATCCGCCCTGGCCGCTGCAGCGGCGGCTAGTTCGTTCTCGTTATCCGGGTCTGATGTCGGTTGAAAAGCTTCGGGATTCGGCAGGCCTTTGCTTGGTTTCGTCGCCTTCTTTCTCGAAGATCGACTGGATTCTTGATTTGTCTGCCCCTTCCCGACACGGCTCACATTCGTGCGATGGGTATTCGTTGCTTCCTTACGCAATGTATCTACCCGTAGATCCTCACGTATCTTTCTCGGCCGGCCTTGTTTTCTGGCAGTCTACAGAAGAAACTGTTAGCTTCTTGAACTAGTCGGTAATGGCTCGAGCTTACTGGTGGTTCGACCGGCGTCTCCGTTGCCAGAGGTAGAGCTGCGTTTTCGCGATGGTCGTCTGTTACTTCTTCACCGTCTTCTCCTTCTTCGTTTTGACCGTCTCCCGTGCCCCTATCGTCATCCTCGCCTTGGTCGTCTTCTATGATGCTGCTTTGGTCTGCGTCCACCTGATCTTCTTCTTCTTCTTCTTCTTCTTCTTCTTCTTCCACACCCTTCTGACTTCTTCGTCTCCTCTTTACTCGTATGGCCTCGAAATCTCTGATGTCTTCCACATCAATATGACCGAGACGCTTGCTGCGCCGGGTTCCCGCCGGAATCTCATCGGTGCTGCTGGTCGGTAAAGCCTTGTCATCGTCCCCCGCAGCTTGACTTTTTGTCGGCCGACCAGGTCGTTTCCTGGTGGCTACCGGCATCGCCGCCTTTCAACCCGGGTTCCGGTGATATCCAGGGGAAAGCTAAAGTAAAGAATGTGCTCTCGAGCAAAGCGACGTGGCTGCAATTGAGGTTCAGTGCTCTTGGCGTCTCATTGTCGACGATCCGTCGTTCGTCCAATGACGCGGATGAAGCAGCTACCACGGATGAAGCAGCTACCACGGAGCATCAGCATCGCGACAGGAACGCGCTTCATTATGCCTTCCAACCAGAGCGCGTGCCCGGGCAGGGATCATCATGCAAGTGCCCGCAGGCGGGGCCGACCAGGGCCCCTCCTTCCGGCTGAGTCAGCAAGAAGGGTCTTTTAGATGCTGAACAGAGGCATTCATGTTTCTTACCTCAGCATGTTCAACACCATCTTGACGGTTTGTGCTCACGATTACATGCACAAGCAACCCGATGGCCATTGCATCCGAGTGCGGTCTCGGAGGCTCTTCTCTAAGTACCTAGGATGACTGCGTCCGCCAACCGGACTTCACATGTTCACTCCTCTCCGTGCTTACTTGACTCGCTCTCCTCCCCGACGATAGCTCATCGCTCCTGTGTTCGAGACCTTCTCCAAAATGTTGATCGAGATTGCTTCATTCCGTTCTACAACGCATAAGAACATTCGGATTCGGCGACTTTCCAATTGGCTAAGTCTTCAAGTGCCGGGTGACGAATACGACTACCTGGAGCGATTCCTCCGTCTGAGCGTCATCAACACGGTAATCGAGGAAGAGACCGAGGCTTTCAAGTGCAGCCCTCACTATCATGAACAGTTTTCTCACTACTCCTTATCTATGAAGTTGGCATACAATCAATGCAAAGTGGCATCAAGTCTAGCTCAAACGCAGTGGTCCGACATGGGAGGGCCTCTCGATCTTTAGCTTTCATGATAGGCTCGCGGATGAGTTTAAGGTAGTCCGACGAGGCGGAAGAAGCCAGCATCATGGCAGAGGCAACCCTTACCTTCACACCACTTTGAAGCGTACCCGTGCAGCCGTGATAGGAGCTTACTCTCTTCGGCCAACACACAGACTCGTCGAACATGGAGGTCCATGTCAAACAACCATGTGTTCCAACCCAATCGCTAATTAGCTCCACCACGTTTCACACACAACCTGTCGGACGCTGATCTCCTTCTGCACCTCTCACTCGTTCGTCAGTCTTTTTCCGCTGAAGTGGTCCTTCTCTCTCTCTCTCTCTCTCTACCTATATACTTGGATCTTGTTGGAAACAATCGTGCCGATCGTGCATGATGCGGCTCAGCAAGTGGAAGAGCCAACAGGCCCACAGTCTATTTTTCGTCTGAAAAGCTGCGACATGTCCCGTTCCCGCCCTCAGCTTCCCGGAGCTAGAGCTTCATGCCGCCATGTAGCGTCGAAGTTTCTTGGCCATGGACTTGTGGTGGCGACCGCGTCCGTTTCGTCCCTACTCGATTCTTGGCCAGACACGCCAGAACTGTGATGGGAAGCGCAAGGAAGGACGAGGCCGTCCTTTCCGTTGTGGGTGTCGAGGTGCCGGACAATAGGTAGGTTCTTCCCGTCCCGGACACGACCAGATAAATCTTGTTGCCGGAAGCAACGGTCTACTCGATCAAGCAATTCTTCAAAGCAGGGTTTTTGTTTTTTTTTGGCCTTCTCATGAGATTCGAGAGTTAAAGAAAAGTTCCAGCGGGGCCAGCAATTTGTATTCGGCGAAGCATACATTTCCTATCATTGTTTTCTTCGTTTCCGCTTTCGCTTTGGTAGCCTATCTACTTATGCCAGCTATTTGTCTTTACAGCAAGACTGATTTAATGTCGATTGCCCTCCAACTCGATCATTCACGAGCTCCTATCGACGAACGGCGCCGTCGCCCAAGATGCGGTTCAGTGCGGGATTCGTGCTCCTTTTCGGCCAGGCCATGGCCTCACCTCATTCGCTTCAGCAACTTCAGCAAAGACAAGATAATAAAGATTGCCCGCCAATCCACATCTTTGGGGCACGAGAGACAACGGCTCCTCCGGGCTTTGGTGCCGCGGCCGGCATCGTCGACGACCTCACCAAGGCGAACCAGGGGGCGACGAACGAGGCCATCAACTATCCCGCATGTGGAGGGTCGTCGGACTGTTTGGGCATCAGCTACGCGGACTCAGTGAAGAATGGGACCGCGGCTGTTGCCACGGCCGTGAACGATTTCAACAAGAAGTGCCCCAAGACGAAGATTGTCATGTTGGGTTTCTCTCAGGTATGTTCTGCATGTTGGTGATTGGCCGTGTAAAGTCAGGCTGACGGGACTCAGGGAGCTCAAATCATGGACAACGCGTACTGCGGTGGTGGAGACAGCATCGAAGGGGTCAAGGACGTCAACGTTCTCATCTCGAACGAGGCACTTGGCGCGGTGAAGGTAGCCATCTTCATGGGCGACCCACGTTACGTCGCTGGACTTCCCTACGAGGTTGGCACATGCAAAACGCAAGGAGTAAGCTAGTGGAAGAAACATGTCAAATGGAAGAAGAAGAAGAAGCAGCTATTAACGTACTCTAGTTTGCACCACGGCCTCAGGGGTTCCAATGCCCGAACGGAGGTAACATCAAGTCATTCTGCGATTCAGCAGACCCGTTCTGCTGCAACGGCAACGATCCCGTTGCTCATCTACAGTATCCAAGCATTTACGGCGACCAGATTAAACAGTTTGTGAGCGACAAACTGAGATAGAGGAAACGAAGAGAAGGGTAATTTCCACCCTACCGATACACCAGCGAGCTCAACTCAACAAACTCGCACTTGCAAACACTCGACCTGGGTGTCGCACGAACTCCAGGGCCGCGCGGCCTTTGATCTAATAGATGGCTTCTTCGCAACAAGCGCCATTGTGTCCTTTTCGGGTCTTTCTTGTCGCCAACCCTTTACCTTTCTTTCTTACCTGTACCAAAGAGCTCAAACAGAGGTACATACAGTCCATACTAGGGAGGCCATAGACGGCGCTCAGACAGACCGAGGTTTGGATAGAACCTAAGCATAGACGTAATTAATACATTTTGATACATGCTCTCGGTCTCGCACTGGAAGAAAGCATGAGCCCGTTTGACACATGGAGAATTCTGCTTTGAGCCGAAAGTCAATTCAGTGTGTTGTTAGGAGAGTTCCATCAGGTGGAGATAAGCTTGAAGCGGGAGCATCTCTAGTGTTAGTAGACCCTGAAGTTGCGGCCGCTGACTAAGGGCACTGTGTCGTCACTCCACACTGTTCACCCCTCCATCATCTCAAACGACGTGCGCCTACAGAGTAGAGCTCCAAGCTATCACCCGCAGCCAAAACCTCACACAACCACATCCAACCCAACATCTCGATACCTCCTTTGGCCCTTTCGTCCCAACCCACGCGTACACACCATGAAATCAACAATGGATCCTCCAAAACCATCATCATCAACCTCATTAACAACACCACCCGATAAACCATCCTTCCCCGCCATCACACCCCTCCCAAAGACCCCGCGCACCTTCCAAACCCCCACCAAGCGCATCAACACCGGCACCGACCTCGCAACCTTTCTCACAACAACAGCCTACTGCGACATCCTCCTCTTCCTCCTCCAACTAAACCGCTCCCTCTGCCCGCGCCGCAACCCAACCCGCCCAACAGGGCCCTCCACAACCTTCCCCCTCTCCTCCGTCCCCTCCACCCCCGAACGCGGCCTCCCGCCCTCCATAGCCCGCCTCCAAACCCTCCTCGCCGAAGCCGAAGCCCTCATCGACCTCGCGCCGCCGGACACGGGCCCCCGCCGCTTCGGCAACGTCTCCTTCCGCAAGTGGCACGAGCTCCTCGCCGAACGCGCCCCCACCCTGCTGTCCAAACACATCCCCGACTCCGTCCTCGCTTTCCCCGCGACCCCGTCCTCCGAGCCGCCGGCCGCCGAGCTCCTCGCCTACCTCCTCGGCTCCTTTGGCTCCGCGCAGCGCCTAGACTACGGAACGGGCCACGAGCTCGCCTTCCTCGCCTTCCTCGGCTCTCTCTACAAACTCTCCTACTTCGCCGACGACACCACCGCCGCCGCCTCAGAAGATGGCAAACCCGCAAGCGCACCACCAGACACATCCGCCCTAGACCGCACCATAGTCCTCGGCGTAATCGAACCCTACCTCCGCGTCGTCCGCCGTCTCATCCTCACATACACCCTCGAACCAGCAGGCTCCCACGGCGTATGGGGCCTCGACGACCACTCCTTCCTCCCCTACATCTTCGGCTCCGCCCAGCTCGCGGCGCCCGTGTCCTCGACCTCGGACCCGATGCCGACAGAGGGCTCCGTCCGCGGCGCGCCCAAAACGGGGGATATCGTCAAGGCCGCCGTCGTCGAGGACCAGCGTTCCGAAAACATGTACTTCTCCGCCGTCGGGTTTATCAACGATGTAAAAAAGGGTCCGTTTTGGGAACATAGTCCCATCCTCTTTGACGTGTCTGGCGTCAAGGACGGTTGGGGCAAGATTAACAAGGTAAGTCCTTTCCACATTCTCTCTCGCATCATTGCAGGCAAGCGATCGCATAATAACTGACAACCCTCCCAGGGCATGCTCAAAATGTTCAACGCAGAAGTCCTCCAGAAATTCCCCGTCGTCCAGCACTTCACCTTTGGCTCCCTCTTCGCCTGGGACCAAGACCCGCACGCCGCGCCCGTATCCCAGTCCGTCCACGCCGCGAACCAGCCCTCGTACAACTACCCAGCAACGACGGCGCCTCCCCCACTCCAAGCAGGCGCAGGCACGGCCGCGCCGTGGGCAACAGGTGGTGCTGGTGCTGGTGCTGGTGCTGGCGCTGTTCCCATGGGCCGGATGCCCCCTCCTCCCCCCGGCGGCGCCGGTATCCCCTACTCGCGACAACCGCCGCCGCCACCATCATCCGCGGCTTCAGCGAGAGGGCCACCTCCGGGTATGATGTCCATGCCTCCTGGCGCGCAGCAGGCGAGGCAGGATACGGCAGATGCGCAGATTGCGTTGACCAAGGCGCCGTGGGCAAAGTGAGAGGTCGAGGAGGAAGAGGATTTGAAAATCATGAGTGTATGAGATAGATACCCTCGACTGGTTCTGGCTCAAGTGGAGCAGAACTCAGTCTGAACGCCTGAGTGGAGGTGGAACTTTAAAGGGCCCAGATGCATGTCTAGAGACGGCTGAATGAGACCGACGGCATCTATACATCCTTAGATGCACCGCTTTACTTACTCCGGTGTGTCTGTACCGTATGAGAACGGTATCAGTGGACGAGTCAAAAAGAAACAAGATACCATTTCAGTATAAGCAAAGTACGCTCGATTCAACTACTCGACTAATGGGTATCCGACAATTAAGCAAATGAACATGAGTAGACCAATGGTCTGAAAGCAAGAAAACCATCTAAACCCCCAATTGTGTGAGCCGCTTTTCTCCTCCTGTGACTGGAATGATTTCGTCGTGGTGGACGGAGGTTCGAGATGTGACGCTACGGGGGTCAAGTCGCTTGCATCAATCGCTCTCCTCCTCTGCCAACCACATCCCGTGGCCTCTGGTCGAGTCTAGTCCTCCTTTAGCCCAGAAACCAGTCACTGGGGCCGAAATCCAGCGGCGCAATCTAGGCGGTGGCAGCGGCCTCCTTCTTCTCCTCGGGCTTGGCGGCCTCGGTGGGGGCAGCGGGCGCGGGCGCGGGCGCGGTCTCAGCAGCGGGTGCGGCGGCGGCCGGGGCGGTAGGGGCGGGAGTCTCCTCCGTCTTCTCGGGCTCGGTGGCGGCCGGGGCAGCAGCAGGAGCGGGCGCGGTGGCGGGCTCAGGTGCCTTGGGGGCCTCGGCGGCCTCGGCGGCTACGGCAGGGGCTGCGGGCGCGGGCGCGGCGGGAGCTTCACGAGCGCATCGGGTCAGTCATTTGGTTTGTTTCTTCGTGAATTTTGCATAGTTGGAGAGACTCACCAGCCTCGGGGGCCTTGGCGGGCTCGGTAGTAGCAGGAGCATCCTCCTTCTTGGCCTCAGGCTCGGGGGCCTTGGCTGGCTCAGCAGCGGCAGCAGGAGCGGGAGCAGCAGCGGGCTCAGCTGTTTGTAGTCGGTCAGTAAAGAGCTTCTCAAGGCGACAACCCGGCGGAAGGATGTTCGCGAGAACGAGAAGAAAGGAGACAGGGAAAAAGAAGAAAAAAACGTACTGGCCGGGGCCGCGGCGGGAGCAGCTTCGGTCTTGGTGGGCTCGGTGGCAGCGGGCGTGGTGGTGGTCGCAGCAGGCTTGGCCTCGGCGGGCTTTGCCTCGGCCTTCTTCTTGAAGATGGCCTTGAACTTGGACTTGAGGTTGTCCAGGGCGTCGATGGCTAGTTGGGAAGCATCGCGTGTTAGTGATTTTCCTTGGCACTTTTGATCCAGATATTGTCGCGTCGCTGCCTCGAGCAACGTCGTGTGTTTTTGAGAAGCTCTGGCAGCTTCTTTGCCGCTTTCGTAGTAGATGCCCAGGGGAGAATCGGGGAAGGGGGAGAGGGCAGACTTACGAACTCCAGGCATGATGACTGATTTCGAGTGAGGACGTCTGTGTGTGTAAGAGCTGTGGTAGTCGTGTACGTATGTACGGTGTGTAAGCGATTGCGGCGATGGAGCTACGATACTCAGCGACGATGAATGCTGGAGAGATGTAGTTGGGACGACGACGGGGTCAGGGCAGGTCTATGTAAAAAGCAAGAAAGTCAAAAAGAGGCCACCGACGATGATGTGGGCAAAAAGGGCCGGGGGGGTTCTTCCCATTGAGAGAGAGAGAGAGAGAGAGAGAGAGAGAGATATGGAAATAGACCATAGACGCCCACCGCAGGCCTCAGGGAAGGGTCTCGTCTCAGCACAGCATAGCACAGCACAGCATGGCAGTCACGCGTTGGGCTTGGCATAAGGTCTCTCTCCTCTCTGTACATTCAGTATAAGGTAAGGTAGGTAGTGTACTTCCCTGGGCATGACGGCAGACGGAGCGGGCGGTGAGTGTGGGCAACCAAGGGAAGAGCCCAGGATGCCATGCCGGGACTTTCCAGCCAAAGGCAAAATGATCAAGGTGGGAACCAATGGGCTGCATGACTTCCCTGGCTGAGGCAGTGACAATCAATGGGGATTCGGGGATGGGGGTGATGGATACTTGGCCTGTACTTGTTGACGATGCTCGTCATTTCTCTTCTTGCTTCGTGGTTCTTCCTTTGGTGCTCCCTCTTCAATCTGTTGTCTTGCTCGCCTTGTTCCATTGTTGAAGCGATATAGAAGAATAAAGAACGAGGACCGTCTCTTTTGGCATCTCCCAGAGTTGTCTGTCTGTAAGGTTCTTGTCTGTGTGTGCCTTAGTCTAGACTCAGAGGTACTGAGGTAGTGAGAGGTGGTAGGGATGGCAGCTGCACGGCCTGTCCACTAATAGATGCACGGGGCCAGTAGCGGCGGTACGTATCTGAGCTTAGCCTGCGATAACTCGTCAAGTCCCGTCTGGAGAGAGGGACTCGTGGAGAGCATCTTATCCACTAGACACCTGAGCTTGATTGATCCATCAAGCCAAGAAGACACTGTTCTGGCGTCTGTTGTAGATATGTCTCAGAGCGTAGAGAGTTCACTCTGCTGTCGAGCTTGCTTCTGGACCGTGTACGGCCTCGTGGTTGAACATCAGTCGGGAGGGTCCAAAAGTCCAAAGTTCAGAGTTCATCCGTCATCGGAGATTCGCACGCCAGTTCGTATCGATTTCCGCCGTAAGTTTGATGAACAGGATGGGCAGTTGACGGGATGCTGAAACCCTGCTTTTTCTTCCCCCTCCTCCCCACCCATCTGCCATCCATCTTCCCTCTGCCCTCTCTGGCTGGCCGCCGGTTGCTTGCTCACTTGCAGCTGCAAGCCAAGATTCTCCCATAATCTGCTGCCACCGTATCTGCTGCTGCTGCTGCAGCATCCAACTCTCTTGCCGCCTGCGAATCTGCCCTGATCAAGGCAATCTCGTCTCATCCCATTCATTCCGTCAGGCAGACTGCACACTGCTGCCCTGGAGGGTGGCATCCAGACGCATCGCACGTTGGGGGTTTTCCTGGTTCCAAGATATGTGTATGTGTGTGTGTATGAGATACCTTAGCGTTGCGCGGGTGGTTGAAGAGAGACACAGAATCTGACGGAATGCCGTCATTTCACTCACGCCAGATTCAGGACCAGGGTCCATCCAACAACACACACAAAATCCGATTAGGCAACCCAGCACACTAGGCGCTACGTGGTCTGGTTCACCAAATTCTGCCATCTGTTGTTCGGGTTAGCTATCCCCCAAGAAAAATAGCGGGAATACTCTGTAGAGAACAATCAGGCGGGCGGGCCACTGAAGACCAAACGTTGGATCGATTTGCACCCGGTGGGCTTCGAGATTGCTTGAAATTGGCGCGGATGGGAGGGGGGCCCTGGGGCTTGGCCAAGCCTGCTGCTTTTCCTCGTCCCGCTGCGACGCTGCTCATCTCGACTCGTCTGTTGATCCTCACATTGCTGGTTCAACGTTCCCACGGACGGAGATGCATGCAAAGTATAGAAAAAAGGGCTGTCAAGTGTCAGCACGTGGGTGGGCGCACTCGTCTGCACACACCAACACCACTGCACAATTTGTATGCACCTTGGCACCACGACGTCAACTTCAAATCCAACCCGAACCAGAACCAGGACCGAAACCGACATGAGTACTTAGTAAATTTAAGATGCGAAAAAAGAGAACAAGAACCGATTGGTAGGTAGTAGGTAGGGTCGGTCAATTAAATACCACAAAAAGCAAAAGAACGGGGCTCAACCGGGGATCGAACCCGGGGCCTCTCGCAGGAGTAGATTCGACAGAATCAAGAACCCAAAGCGAGAATCATACCTCTAGACCATTGAGCCGAACCAAGCCGTTTAGCGACCAGGAATGCAGGGGGCTGCGATGTCGAGAAAGTTCGGTTAGCCGCCTATGTTCCGTGTCAGAGGCAATAGTGGGGCAGCCCTTTTTTCCAGCGTGTTGGCGCCCCAGTCAGTTTGCAGTGGGGAGCTAAGAGAAGAGACTGCAAGAATCCTAGGATCTGGGGTGTGGTAGAATATCACGACCTCATAGGCCGCGGGCAAGAAGATCAGAAGAGAGGATAAGTTTCAGACGGGAAAGATGGTCCAAATGCCAGAGCCGGGTATTGATAAAGACCGGATCTCAAATTTGTTCTTTCTTTCTTGGCCGGGTGGCAGAAATTAATTCTGAAGCATTCGGGAGTTGGCAGGCCGGCCCTTGCTAGATGCTTTCCATCCTCCAATCAATATTTAGCCTGTCTCCGCCCGCCGATATGGTTTTCCTGGCCAAGGACTGACTACAAGTAGCCTTCAGTGACATTTTTCGGGCGGTGAAGGTCCAGATCGAAACGAGCACGCTCTTAGTCGAGTATTACCTTCAAGTTTGTTGTAGCGGGAACGTACAGCCAGCAAACTAGACGTCATTGTCATCCCAACCAGTAAACAACCAGTATATTCAATTCGAGAAGAGACTCATGGAATGAACGCGTTTTTTTGAGGCCGATATAACATACTTGCTCGTGCCGTCAAGCATTTGATTTCTAGATCCTGCTGATTCCAACTTGGCCCTGCCAGACACATCATCAGAAACAACCTGTCCCGTCCAGTGTTATCAACGCATGCAGCCCACGAATCACGGTACCAGGATATCAAGTCCTCCAATTTTTGCTTGATTTCTAGTGTAATACTGCATTCTGAATCATTCTAATGGAAGACCTTGCCTCGGTGAAGGAAACATGAAGCCGTGATCCTATATGTAAGTGGCAAGGCGATTTAATTCCAATATCTCAGGGGGAAAAGTCCACCTTGACGCCCATGATTTCTTCCCCGTGGGATGAAGATTTGTAGGACTTTGAATCACGCAAGGTCAGTCTACTCTAAACCAACGAGTTCTGGCGCCTACATCTTCATCGAAAACTGGCGATACGGTCCATCTTCATGTTACGTTCGGCATATTGATTTGATATGTAAGAACTGAACACAACTGAACCTCTCAGAGGCAAATATCATAGAATCGAAAGAAAGTGGACTTGAAAGTTTGCTTCATCATCCCAAGACTTGTACTCGTCTTTTATTTACAATCCCCTATTAAATCCCACCACCACTTCAGCCGTCTCGTATATTGCATACATCATAGCATCGAATATACAAACATTTCATCAAGTCATCAGTCATGAAAACGTCCAAAACATGCGTATACCCTTCCCAACCCCCCTCCCACTTTCATCACCACCAACCACAAAACCCCTCAGTTACTATTATGAGCATTCAACACCAACAACACCAAATTCGCCACAACCATAACAGTAATCATCAGCCAAAGCAGCACAGCCAACACCGTAACACACCACGAATTCGCCATCTTCACGCCCACAGCACTAAACCGCCTCGCCGGCACAACACTCGTATCAGAACCGTAGCTCGCGGCCCCCGGGACAACAGTCATGTACTTGTTAAACGAAGTGAAATAAATAAGCGGCGCCGTGATGACGGGCAACACCGTGCTCAGCACGACCTGCGTCCCCGTCAAGGCATTGCTGAGCCCAGATTGCCCCGCGACAGCAACGACGACGATGATGGGGATGACGCTGATAAGCCGCGTCGCGAGGCGGCGGAGCCATGGCCGCATGCGCCAGTTGAGCGCGCCTTCGCTGACGAGTTGGCCGGCAATGGTACACACCAGCCCCGCGGAAACGCCCGAGAGAAGCAACGCAAAGGCAAAGATGATCCCGGCGGCAGAGGAGATGCTATTGGCGAGTAAATCGTGCATACCGAAAATATCAGAGGCGAGGGAGGTCTGGCCCTGGTAGAGCGCCGAGCCCGCCACAATAAGAATGGCCGAATTGACGAACAGCGCAAAGATGAAGAGGGAGAAGACGATCTCGGCAATGGAGAACTTCATGCAGTGCTTTATGGCGGCCATGGAGGGGAAGTAAAAGACCTTGTGGTAGCTGTCGACGGTGGTCATTGTGTCGGAGCGGGGGAGTTCTTGGAGGTTGCCCTCCTTCATGTCAAAGTCTTTGAGGCGGGATTGGACGACGCCTGAGCCGAGGTGGAGGCTGTGAGGCATGACTGTTGCGCCTAGGATACCGCAAGATTGGTATAATCTGTCATTGTTCTTGTTAGCATGACCCATTGGATCGTAGGGGGTTCTTCTCTACATACCCCTGAGTCTGGATGATGGAGCTGGACGGGAGATATCCGCGGAACACCTGACCGACAGTCGTATTCTCAATCAGCGAAAGCTGGATACAGAAGCAGACGACAACGCCGAGCACAAGGAAACAGACGCCAATCTCAAACAACCGCAGACCGCGCATCGAGCCATCGGGGCGGTAAAATCCGACAATGAAGACGACATCCACAATAGTCAGGACGACGCAAGCAATCAACGGCAACTTTGGTATCAACAGATGTATAGCCGTTGCGGTTCCGATGACGACGGCCATATCTGTCGCCACAATGGCAATCTCGGCGAGCGCGTAGACGATGATGTTCATCCATTTCGGGAGGAAGACGCGGCAGGCGGTCGCCAGGTCGAGGCCCGTGATTGTCCCGAGTTTGATAGCCAGCCCCTGGAGGAATATCGCAACAACGTTGCTCAGCAAGACGATGAAGAGCAGGTCAAAGTGATAGGAAGCACCGGCGGCGATGTCAGTGGCGTAGTTTCCGGGGTCGACTATATCAGATCGTCAGTCTCGACTACTTTTCGACGTGCCGATTCTTCAAGAAAACCTA